CCCTCACCTCAAACCCCTACTCCTCACCTCCAACCCGTACCCCTCGCCTCCACCCCTACCCCTCACCTCCACCCCACAATACCACCCTTACCCTCACCTGAACCCCCAGATTTTCCTCCACCCCTTATTTTCTGCTATGGTGTGTTTCTGAAATTCTGGTGTGTTTCTGAAATTCTGGTGAGCAATCTTCTTGCCAACTCTATCCAGCCAAAATTATATCCCCAATGCACACATCACGGACACCTTAACTGTACATGTACAATGTACATGAATTAAGTCCCATGAAAATCGTTGGGCGTAAATAATGAAACGCAGGCCAGGGTGTATTTGTTTATCCTATTTATGGCCTGCCTCACCAGGCAACAATGATATTTACTGCCGTTGCCATGGATTTAGCGGAATGTTGTTCCTTATATGTGCACATGGATGTTCATCGTTTGGGAGGGTGATTTATTGTTGGGTAATTGTACAAGCATCGTCATGGAAACTAACAGCTTGAAACAGGCAGTAGGGTGTTCACTGTCATTGCAGAAAATTGTGGATATCTTTCTTTTAAAGGTGGTATACAACATTTACAAACATCAAAAAACAAAACTACCAAATTATTATGGAATACCATACTTGACTGCAAGTGAAAAATAGTCTCAAGCATCCTGTGAAATCATGGCACGGGGTGGACGTGCTGTCATTTTCAAGAAAAGTGGATTTTTTGTATCAATTTCCAACGATGGTCAGTACCCGATTGAAAAAAAAAATGGGTACCCGGGTACCAGTTAAAGAAACCCAACCCCAAAATTCAAATCTCACACGTTGCTGTATACAGATTGTCCATAAAGGTCTGCATGATGTACATTGGTGTCAGTGTGCAGTGACCTTCATTTTACAGTGTAAACTGCAACTTTCGCAAGCGTCACAAACGAGAAATATGTTTTGTCTTCATATAGCCTGATTTCATTTTGGACATTCTCCACAAATGACATTCAAAATCTTTCTTTTTCTTTGTCTAAGACGTTACTAAGTAAGTTGGTTATGGGTACCCGATCCTATAATCTGGAACTGGTTCCTGACAGCAACGGTCGGGTACTTGGGTAGTCGGTTCTGATGCACAGCTCTACTTTCCTTCATCATATTAACTCAGTGACATTAATATTTTGCATGTTGCAGATGTAACATTGCAAAGTCACTCCCCTGATTGGTATGTTTGAGTGTAATGTTAAGGACACCATTAGAAACTGAGTGACCTATTAACCCTAACCTCCCCAAATCCTCCAAAATCCTCTTTGCAAAATCATGAAGGATTTTGCAGGATTGAAGCTAAATGGCAAAAATGTGTGGCTGATTTTTGAGGATGTACTTGTGTCCAAGGTCTTAGGCCAGACCTTGTCTAGTATGCGCAGCCGTGCATAAATTTAGGCCTAGACTAGACTTGAAATCCTCTGCACTGCTCCAGGATGTCACTGGCTCTGCCTCAACATACTGACAGTGATTGCTGGAAGATTTTGCAGGATTTGAGGCAGTACTACAGGGACTAACATGAATAATGGGTTGGAAAAAACAAAATCCATATGAGGAGTTGAGTTTCATGTTTTAAATGATGAGAATTAATCAATAGAAATTTGACAGTGCATACATGTACAAGTTGTTGAACATCCGTGTACGGGTAAAGTGTACACATGCTAAATTGAGTATGCTGCACATGTACATGTACAGGTAAATGTACTACATTTACGTGCAGTTCATGCTGATTCTTGCCCCATACCTGTTTAATATGCTGTCTGTATATTGATGCCGCGTCAAAAATCTGAGAGTTGTGGGGGGGGGAGGGGGGGGGGGGGGGGGGAACCAACCAGGGACATAGCCTTGAAACCCCCATGCTTTCTCGTAGCCTCCATTGACCTGTACATATGACCCTCGTGGCACGTGCGAAACTTTTACCCCCTGGTGCATGTACATGTATTCCGTCCTACGGATTAGTGTGTCTACAACAGGTTGTTGGGCCCAGTGGATTACATGTTATTGAATATTGCCTTAACGTGTTTCCCCTTCGCTGTCTGAAGCCAGCGGTATCCCAGTGGGAATGATGAAATATATGTGAATCGCATATTAAATATGACAAGTTGAAAGCATCTTCTTTTAGCTGAACACTAGCCAAAGATGCATCTTTCGTATTATTTTCCACATGAACTGTGCAATTTTTTTTGATATCAGGTTTTTCTCTTTAGAGGCATGAGATTTTTCAGACTTTAGTCTGAATTCAGACTTTTTGAATCTGAGAGAAAGACATTATCAATATAGAAAGAAACGCACCTTTCAGACCCCTTCATCCAATTTTCAGACTTTTTTTTTAAATTGACAATCTCGTCCCTGTCTTTATTGACATCCAAAAGTCAGACTTTATGTCAGTTCATACTCGGAGTGAGTGCAGATGTTAACAGTGAGTTAATGGTGTCACACTAAGACTATAACACTACGTATTTTTTGTTATTGGCATTTTTTTTTTTTTACATCTAATCTGCTTCAGATCTGCATTCGTCAATGCTTTACGTACCAGTACTTGAAATGAACATATAGTCAGTACCACGCTGAAAATTAAGCAAGGTCTTTCCTTAGTGAAAATTGCTGTCACATGACCACAATGAACATGCATGTACTAATCCAGCAAACAAAATAATAAGCCTTTTCGGAGTTCCAACTGCGCATTCATAACCTGTGACAACGCACATTGTTTGTCTCAAATGGCCTTTGACAACATCGCGCCACTGACTTTACAAAAAGGCTGTTTGTGCATTGTGGGTACTGTCAAAGGGCATTTGAGACAAACAATGTGCATTGTCACAGGTTACAAATGCGCGCAGTTGGAACTCCAAAAAGGCTTATTACATGTAAAAGGCATATTGAAAAATTCTGTGAGCAAGTCATTCATGTAAGTTGTATACATGTGCAAACTAAATGCTTCTTCAATCAAAGCACGTTTATAACTTGCCACAGTGCATTTGGGCAATGCCATGGTAGCTTGCGTGACATTTGACCATATTCCATCTCACTGGCACACCACCCAAATGAAAGGTCTTGTTGTCCCCTTTCATTTGATACCACATCTGAGGTTGTGAACTTGTGATGCTTGTACCAGTAGTTCTGAAGATTTCATAAATTTTCCGATTTTTCAGATTGTCCACTTTTGCGTGGAATGGGCCCTATGCACGAGTTGGCCATTTTTGTCATGTTCCCTGAATGTATTTCATAATTGTGAACTGTTGAATGGGATGGTGCCAGGCTATTTACTCACACTTTCACTCACTTTCGTTGTTTTAAATGTGGCTTAAAATTAGAGTACCGGTATGTTTAATCACGAATTTTAAATGATTCATCAGAGCAGACTGGTGTTAGTTTGTAACGTCATTGCTTTCATTTCTGTACACAAGTTCCAAAAATGAAGATTTGACCTCACTCTCAATCCAATATGGCCGACTCGTGAATAAGGCCCATTGCCCATTTTCAATATAGACTTAAGAAAAAAAAATGTCTGACATCAAAAGATGGTGCCACCTCAGTGAGTAATGTCTAATTACAGTTGATGTCACTGATTAGCCTGTAATTGCCGGGTTCTTAATGATAGATGTAGTGGTGCTCTTCACTCTACCACATAAATTAAAGGTCTCAAGCTAATAATAGAGAGGCTAGTCTCAAACGAACGGATACGTTTAGCGAGCGGGATAGGTCATCAGTTTGTTTGGTCATTTGCAAATCATAATCCGCTACGCATACATGTACTGGTACATGGCACGAATATATCGCGTGCTACGGTACGTGTCACTGTGAAACGCAAAGTAAATTGCGGAATTTCACCCTATTTTCTGATAAGTTATTTAATCGTACATGATTTGATTGAAAGCGGATGAATTGCTGAACATATATGCGTCATTTCTCTGTGTTTCAAAAATTAGCCGCATATATACGAGGCTTTCATTGGAGGCTGCCATTTTGGATTACCGCTTTGGTTCCGATAACTAAGCGTATCATGGCCACACTCATCAAATTTGAAAATCCCAGAAGACTGCCGAAAAATTGCCAAGATTTCCCAAGATATCAGTATAATACATATCAAAATTGCAGCACAGTTCCTGTTTTTATGTGAATGGGGCTTACAAAGTGCTGCCATTATATCGCAATCCATACTTTCGTGTGTTCTCAAAACGCAAAATAATCCCGAGGCTCAGTGAAACTTTCCCAAGCCCTGGCCCTAATTCCCAAGATCTTGGGAAATATCCCTAGGCGTGTACAAGATGTGAAACAATGGAATGGTCAATAACGGTTGTGGATAGCGTATGCATTTTTGTAAGTCACAATTTAGGGCCGCATCTGAATTACTTGTGGCTATATATGGCCAGCATTAACACACGTATTTTTGGGAAGTGGCTTTAGCCGTTTCCATAGGGGCATGTGTAATTGCAAGTCGTAGCCAAAGTAATTTGGTCGTTGCCTAATATTTTGTCCACTGATCTCCACATAGGAAATCTGGATAGCCCATTGATTGTTAGAAGTGAAGTCACCGCCGCCATATTACCACTCTATGAACAATAGATTTGTAGGGAAAGAAATATTAGTTATTTGACATGTTTATGTACACTTTTTTTTTTACAATGTACTCGACGTATTATTTTTTGTATACCAACGAATTTAAATGGCAACAAAATATATTTTACATACATGTATATAACTTTTCTAATAAGAAAAAAACAATGACGTTTTCCTGTGCTTTGAAACAGTCCTATTTTTTAAAATATTTTTTTTGTGAACGATGGGAGTGGTTGAGACTAGCTCTCTCCAGACATTCGAATGGAGGGATCAGGGAACCAGTGCATAGTTTCCCTGGTCTGTCAAGGAATGGCCACCGAAATACATCCAGATTTTTTGAATGGAGATCAGTGATTTTTTTTCCAGTGGTCTTTTATTTTTCAAATTGGTGACTTTTGCTTCCATTCTGAATGTCCCATTTCCAGAGTCACCGGCGGCGAGCTCTTCGACAGAATAGTCGCCAAGGGTAGCTACACGGAGAAGGACGCTAGCAATATAATGAAGCAAGTCCTGGAGGCGACGGAGTACATCCACGGGCAGGGAGTAGTTCACCGAGATCTCAAGGTATGTTTAACACCGCTTTCTGTCTGGCTTTCCAGAGTCGCACTGAACCTAATAATATTAGCAGTCGACTCAGATTTTGGTTTCAAAATAGATTTTGGTTTGGGGGAACTTTGTGTGAAAATCCTCCAGTCAGATCGAGTTCCAACAACTGCAACTGTCAATATTTTGACGACTTTTGCATGTAGTTGTTACTAAAAGTTTCGGTTGTCGATCCGAAGTAAAATCTTACCAAAAAGATTCTGGAACACAAGTTTTGAAATGAGTGTAAATGATCAATGTAGAGATGTAGGCTAATTATCCAGGACAATATACATTGTTGTAACATGTCTTGGATACTGTAATTTCATTGGTCTAGAACAGCCACATGTCCAGTCTATAACAATGACGGTTTACTTTAAACACACTGCATTGCATATTGTCTCATACTCTGCATTGCATAAATTACCTCATATACACCGCGTTTTATATAATTATTGCACCCACATGAAGGGTGCATGTGTGGTGCCTGCGGGCCTCACAACAGAGAACTTCAACCTCTCAACTTCATGTCCGGTAGGAAAGTTGACAATAATCAAAAGGTTACACTATATTGAGTTAATTTAGTAAGTTAAAAAATCTTGTTGACGCCTTGGCATGATTCAACAAAACAATTGTTGACTGCTGTGATGTGGGATATGTCGTTGTTTGCCCCCTTGGGGCACATAGCACTCTTGGCTTCACCTTTAATAGGTGCGTTGCTCCCCTCAGTTATTAAAAACGCCACTTCCCACATCACAGCAGTCAACAATTGTTAATTAACGGTATGGGCTCTTATCATGAAATAATTATGAGGGTATCAAATCCCATGTAAAGTAATACCAATAGCAGCTGGGCTTGAACCTTCCTAATTCCTGCAAAATCCTCCAAAACATTTTTTAGCTGCGGGATAGCAGCTCAACAAATCATCACTTCTCTCCGTTAGTCCATTACAAACGTTGGCCTTTTTTGCTCCTATATATTTTGATCAATTTCAACCAAACTTTGAGTTTGAAATCAAGATATCCCTGGAGAAAATTAGATTTGTGAAACATGGAACTGTGATGAAGCTAATGTAGTCATTAGTGCCAAGTTCCACAGAAAATAAGAAAAAGCAAGCCTCTTGCCAATTTTTTTCAATAACAAACTCTGACGAATGTACAAGCTTGAGAAAATTTGATTGGTAAACATGTATGTAACTGCTACCTGCTCCATCAGCAACAGCATCTTACGGAGCGAGAGCCTGAAATGGCATCCTGAACCCAGTCTGGCCGCTGACAGATATCCTCGTAAAGTATGCACGCAGAATGAAGGGGGGGGGGGGGGGAAATGGATCAGGTATGTTCGGAGACTGTCGTCGGTCTTTTATCGCAGATGTTAACATTGTTTAGAGCACTGATGGCAACTAGGCCAGTCAGCGGGTGGGTAGAGTCGTAGCGGGGAGAAAGGACAAGAGGGGAACATTCCCATCATGCCTCTGTCTGTTTATTGATCCTGGGATAGGTGTAGGTGCGCACCTGGGGAGTAGGTTTCCGAAGAGATTTTGGAGAGGAGAGTAAAAGATGACTGTTGGATAATGCAGGAATTTGGACTGCGATGATGCATTGCAAATAGACACTTTTTTCTGTCAAGAGCAACTGAATGAGTTACAATGAGTTCAGTTTAGCGTATCCTAAAGCCACATTTTGAGATGTTATCGGGAAAGACCAAAAACCCCACGGCCTGAAAAATTGAAAGGGGCACAAGGGTACTAATGCCATTTTAAGATTTGATAAAAGCTCGTAGTTGTCCCTGAAATGTTCTGTTTGCTAAGAAGCGCATCATTGAAAGCAGGCTGGAGGCAGTAAGTACCATGTGGAAATGTAGCCGGAAATGTATTGGAAACAGGATCTGTGAAAGTTCTACAATCCTCAGACCTCGTGGCATTAATCAATTCTTTTGAGACAGTGAGGGGCCATTTACTAATTTTTTTTTTACTGAGAGAAAAAAAAATATGTCTCCTGCTCCACCAGGACAGTGTTTAAACATGCTTGTACCATTTGTAGCACAATTCACTATTAAAAAAACCCTCACAATGTTGCTCATGTTGTTTTGTTTGTTGGGTTTCGTTAAATTGTTTGTTTGTTTGTTATTTTACACTCATATGGAACTACAGAACAAGAATGAATGCACATACATATATGGCCCCAAAAAAAATTGTCTCCGGTTTCTGGTATGGAGCTTGCCCAAAAAGTGGTGCGGTGACGCGGCTTTTTTTTTTTTTTTACCTGTTTTTTTTGCTTCAAATGTCGGCTGATGACTGCACATGGTGCCCGACTAAACTTAGATCAAATATTATGGGAGACCAGAGAGGCCACATAAAGCTTATTCTCGATCATAACCCATCTAAAAACACGTTAAAATTGTGCAGCAGCAGGATTCCAGTCAAACCAGTGAGTTTGGCGGTTTTGAGACATCATCTTTCATTGAAAAAAAAAAAAACTTTTTCATTTTGCCAACGCGCATGGCTACGGCGACGCGCGCGCATACCAGAAACCGGAGACTTTTTTTTTTTGGCCTATACACACGTTGTATACAAGACAGCACAGTATGCATGTTTCATGCATTTGTCGGTCACTCCCAGTATGAGTGACAGATGCTGTGCATCATTTACATTGTGTGTAACAGTAGAAACGATGGGGACGCAATATGGCTGTTCTTGGGAATCTCTGTAGGTGCGAAAGCATTGATGGGTATCACACAATATCCGTTTACCTGAGTTCACAGTGACAGGTCCAAGCAGCTGAAAAATTGAAGTGCATCGGCACAGAGCAAGTTTGAAGGCCTATAGGCCTATATTTTGCGGGATTTTGTCGCAACCACTTTGTCAGCAGTGGCGCAAACGTGTGTGTCTACAAAAAATGTATATACATTGTACAAATCCATTTTTTATAACCAATCAGTTGAGGAACAAGTTCCAGGTGAATTATGTATGCGGCGTTTTGTCTCGTGATAAAATCACTTCAAATTTGATCCCGCCCAAAAAAACACACATTAAAAGTCACACAACTTTGTTGCGTAAATGTAAACGTGCTCAAAAATTTGTGCGTTTATATAAAAATGCACAACATTGTTGCGCGACAAAGTCGCATACATGTGTGTAAATTGTTCTTGAGTGAGGACTCTTGTCGACCATGAACTCCGTGCGCTAACAAAAGAGGGCGCCCGTTTACCTAACAACGACGTCCCATGGGCGGGACATTTAGCTGGTTGACGCGCACAGTTCCTTCTGTGTGACGCACGTACACCAGGGGATTTGTACTATGTACACGCAGTGGTACTCCTACGCGTAGCGGCAAAGTTGCAGTCAGGCAACATGGCGTCGGTCGTTCACCCCCAACTGTACTTCCTTTGCCGGTGAGGGGGTACTTGTGAACGGAGCGGATAGTCTGACTAACTTCGCTCGATTTTGAGTATGGTTGGACTATTCTTGTCGACTATAGACTAATCCGGCGACAGCCATTTTCTGAGGTGTCACCAGGCTCGCGCGAGTCGCGTGTGGGTGATACGCATGCACTTCAGGCTCCTTCGACCAATAGAGTTACCAAAATGCACGCGCGCCTTGTCTTTAAGAAAGCGTGCAGCATACCCGTGAGCATAGCACCACTGCAGTAACGGCTTCGTTCTGGTTGCTGGATTTGCCCTATTGGAACCGGAGCCTTGGTCATGTTTCCATCGCTGGTTGCAATTAGCCGCACGCACTGTAATGCACACGATGCACAGCAGGGAGCCAGAATGAAAAAGTGTTGTAATAACCTATTGGCCAGCGTTTGACAGGAGGCATTCGCACATATTGCTGTTAGTGCGCAGGCGTGTGTTAAGTCAGGAATCAACCACTAGACGTTAAGTGATCCTTGACCTAACTTGACCGAACTAGTCTTGGCCCAAGACTGGATTTGGATTTTATTCCCCTATTTGCAGGCTGTCCTTGACAAGCATGGTAAAGCCGCATTAATAATAGAAGTCGCTACTCAAAGAAATAAACCAAATCCAATCTTGGAAACTTTGGCAATGCTACCCTGTCAATTACGAGAATACCTCATGAGCGTGCATTAGCTTGAATACATCAGCGCGTTTGAGGTATGCTCCAGAATCTCTTGGCAAGTGCTGCCAAAGTTCCCAAGACTGGTTTTGATTGATCTTGTTGATAAGGGTAGCAACCTCTACCACAGCTGCGGGTTTACCGCGCTTTTGAGGGACCAGCTGTACAATGTACTAGGGGAATATAATGGAAATCCAGTATAATGGACCAAGACTAGCAATGTATATGTACACGTTCATTGTATCTTGTGTAGTGTATCATCTCGCAGCAATCACTATTATTGCACAAGCTTTTACACGTGCAGGCACTGGTATGTAGGTTGATGAAATGCAGGCAAATGATAGAAAATGAGGGCTGTCCGTCTGTTCCTATTGTTTGCCCTCAAATCAATCAACCTGGATCTGACGTTGTATTGTTCACCATATTGCACACAAATATTGCATAGGGTAGGTACCACAGAGTCATAGATAACTATAAGCCGCGTCCTGCTGCAGGTTTCATCCATAGAGCTACATTAAATTACTAGAGCACTAACTCGCACTGTACGAATTAAGCCTGCTGGGCGCATCAATGTTTGTGCACAACCTATGGAAACCTCCAAATTAAGTACGGCTTTATAGTACTGATATTTGCCTATATGCGTTTGTATTCTATACCAGTGCATTATCAAAGCCGATACACCAAAAAACCGAAATGCGCAATAAGTAAATGAAGGTTTCTTGTGTGGCTGATTTTGCAAGATGCACTGTGTCAAGGTCTTGGGCAGGACCATGTGTTGTTTATGCTCAGCCGTATATATATGTAGGCCTAGATTATACTTGAAATCCTCCGCACCGCTCCAGGATGTCACTGGCTCTGCCTCAACATATTGACATTGATTGCTGGAGGATTTTGCAGGACTGAGGCAGTGGTCACCCCTCCAAGGATGAAGAAATAACGGAGGATTTTGCAGGATTGAGACTGTATGCAATTTTTACATGGATTGAGGTTGCATCCTGGTAAAAATGCCTAGGGAGTTGGGGTTAAAGAAAGGTAAAAGCTTTCTTTAAACTCAATATTTAGAAAAGACTTTCATTCACCAGAACGCGTAAATTGACTCATGATTTATTCATGACCAGACTCGTGATGGACTTATAATGGAATCGAGCTAACACCCAGGGTCATAGCTGTCCATATATAAACAAAAATTACTAATTACATTTATCCTGTTGTTCCTCCATCTACTGTAGTCGATTTGATGGAAAAAACAAGCGAAGAACAGATGTTGATTTCTCTCATACATGTAGTTGACTCTGTAATAACCATAATTGTAAATCATAATTTAGTTATGAGTACAAACGTGGTGGTGATTCCACGTGTTGTCCTGGTCAAGGCTAGCGATGAAACAGCTGATGCCTAATTGCCGTCTTTTATTATATTTTCTGAATGGGATCATCATCTTCCATTCATGCAGTCAGGGTCAAGGTTGGGCTAAGTGCCCACCGAGCCAGGCATGCAAGCCTAAAGTGTTCTCAGAATAGTGCTGTGGGGAGTCGGAGCATTTGTTAAATGCGCACTGGTAGAAACATCACCTGGGATGTTACGTGCCGGCCCGACCCGGTGCGCTCGCTGTGGCTTGATACGCAGCTGGTGCTGTGACCGTTTTACTCCTCGTTTATTAAATCTCGGGCTAAATGGAGAGCTGACCTCAAAAATGCGGGATGCATTTTTGTGAGTCGCTTGTCTGAAGAGAGGTGACTGTTTGAATTGGGTCAAGAACTCGTCAAGTCATTTTGTCCATAGCGTCGTGGTGTTTGAGTCATCGATCTGCCAAAAACGAGTCAGGCAAAATCTCATTTTTGTCTACACGCATTCCTGTTTTTTATAAAATGAATATATCTATCGGTCTTTATATAATATTGGATGCCTTTGAGGGGGATACTGGAATGTATTGCACGCTGTAATAATATTCCATGACTCAAAGACGAGTGTAATATTGTTATTGCGAGTGCAGTATGTTCTTGTATCCCTCGAAGAAAATCCATCCAATATTGTTATTATTATCTATATGAAGCTGACTTGATTCACAAGAAACAAATTTCAGGACACTGTCTTTATTTCTTAAATTCCGTCAAATATTCTTTGCTTACCGAAGCAGATTTTTTCGCCGCTCGAAGCTGCTATTATGGTTGTTGACAACAGTGCACACATACCCTGCTGCGCACTGCGCGTAATAGTACCGCGTGCTACGCTCTATTCACTGGTTAACAACTATGAGTTTCTACGCTCTTGATTGTGTGGGAACCAGGAAAATTTGTTGAAATTTCCAGATGAGGACAATATCAAAAATAATATTGTCCTCATCCGGGTACTTTTACTGACATAATATTGCAGTCAACCGATACTTTTTATGAAAGCATACAATACACTGATTTATTTTTTACCACTGTAAGTCTGATTTACAATGTATATAATAATGATATTGATTACCCCAGTTCATCATCTGGTACTTTTACTGACATAATATTGCAGTCAACCGATACTTTTTATGAAAGCATACAATACACTCATTTATTTTTTACCACTGTAAGCCTGATTTATATAATAATGATATTGATTACCCCCGTTTTTCTTTGGGTACTTTTACTGACATAATATTGCAGTCAACCGATACTTTTTATGAAAGCACACCATACACTCATTTATTTTTTACCACTCATTTATTTTTACCACTGTAAGCCTGATTTATATAGTAATGATTTTGATTACCCCAGTTCGTCAGGCCTATAACTCAGGCATTAATTCTTAATACCAGCCCTTACTTCTGTGAATTATGTATTTTTGGTTGCTTTTGTGCAAACAAATCAGCCCTGCTACATGTAGGAGACTGGTTCCCGTCCAACATTATAGATTCTAAAAGGGGGCAGGAACCAGTCTGTTTGTAAAGTACCGGTACGTGTACTTATACTAAGTTTGCATACTTTTTTTTCCTGTAGAAATCTCATTCAAACCTGACTAACTTTTTTATTGCTGGAAAAATGACAATTCAAAAAGACTTTTTGTTTTTCGTAAATCTTCAGTGGGTAAATTTGCAGTGCTGAAAATGTAACATTGATTTTCTTTTTGTACTTCGCCTACATGTAGGCACCTAACATGCATGGGCGTTGCCAGGATTTTTTCTAGAGGGGGGCAAAACATATTTTTCCCAAAAAGTTCCTGTATTTCTCAACATATTCACGATTTCTCAGTTTTAATTTACACTCTTTTTTTATTTTTATATTTTTTGCTTTTCCGGGGGTGGGGGGGGGGGGGGTGGGCAAGCACCTCCCCTTGCTTCCCCTCGCAACGCCCATGCTTACATGCCTAATTTGTGTATCAGAATATTGCAATCAATATTACATGCTTTATCCAATACTCTGAAAGTTTTTCATTTCTGGCAGCTAAATCATGAATTTCAGTAGATTATCACACAGATATGGTAGCTAAAGTTTGAATACATTTGAGGGTTTAACCGTGCCATTGACAAAGTACATACATGCATGCCATCCACCTAGAGGTAATTGTACGAATATAGAATTGGTGTATTGCCAGTCTTCATGTAAATAATGAAAGGTTTGCGGAAACACCATGTGCAAATAATTTCTCAACTAAGAGAATGGTTCTGAAAAGAACCAGAGGTATAAACTCGACGTTCCGGTCAGTATGCTCTGACCGTCTTCAGGAGACTCCTTTCATTATTTAGTATCCGAGACTCCTTTCATTATTTAGTATCTCCACCATGCAAAGCCTCAAATCTTACTCAGTCTTCATGTGGCCATTAGTCATACAGCAGTTCCCCACTATCCAATTACAGTAATGTGATTCAAATCGGGATCATATGGCATTTGCTTCCGTGATGAGCGGAAACCGTACTAACTGCCTGTGCTTCTCATTAAGCATCATCATGAAAGTCATTTTTTATCAATCAACCTTCTTCTTGTCAATCTTCCCCCCCCCCCCCACCCGAGAATGATCATCATGTGTTTTTAGTCACTATTTTATTTGTTTGCAATGGGGCAATTCCGTAAATTTGGACGCACATTTCAGAAACACTTTAATGAGCATGCTGTTGGAAAAGTGAATGTGATACATCAGTAATGATGCCAAGGGAAATTGCTTGGAAAGAATTGTTTCCATCAGATGATATTTGCTCGGGGGGAGATGACAATGTTTATGGAATGTTTATTAGGGCCTAATTGCAATTAAGACAATCCTGACACCCCCAAAAGTTGATCCAATTAAGATTAAGGGTCTCATCAGAATAAGGCCTTGGGTCCTATATTCAAATATTGTTGTTGGCTAAAATGACAGGAATAAATACATAAAGAATGGCTGTACCGGTGTATCAGAAGTTGGCTGAACAAATGTTGCCTTTTGCAAAAATCGAAATTATCAGCAAAAATAATCCCGGCACGAAGTGGTTAATACGGGAGATTTTCCCAACCTTTCTATCAAGCTTCTTTTCTCCCTTCTCTTCCCCAGCCCGAGAATCTTCTTTTTTACAACCCCCACGAAGACTCCAAGATCATGATCAGCGACTTTGGCCTGTCCAAGATGGAAGGATCGGGCGATATGAACACAGCGTGCGGTACGCCGGGCTATGTTGCCCCGGAGGTGCTGCGGCAAAAACCCTACGGCAAAGCGGTAGACGTGTGGTCCATCGGAGTCATCACATACATATTGTAAGTAGAAATATCATACAAAAAAAGCAACAGACCATATTTTTTTGTTAGCGAAGGAGAGCGCTGTAACACCTTCATTGTCTGAGTATGCAGTGAAGAAAGGGGCAGAAAGTGAAACTTAATCTAACTTTATAGATGCTAAATGGGCTCTGCGTGTAAACTTTGATATCACTTTTTTACCACCAATGAGAGCCCAGTGGGCAGGACACACCTTGTACACGAAGTACACACAACTTATTTGATTCTGAATGTGCACAAAGCCATACCGGTAGTGTCTTCGCATGAGCATCAGGCAATGCGTTTGAATGTCTCTCCCAGTGGTCTCCCCCAACTCTCCCTTTCTTACCGCTGAGGGGGGTACTTGTGCACGGAGCCCATAACTGAAGTGAGGGGTTTGCCCAGAAGGACGAGGGATCTTGGGTGTTGCAGGGGGGGCGGGGGGGGGGGGGGCAAGGGGGAACGCTTTCCCCCCTGGGGGGGGGGGAAATGAGGGGGAAAAAGGAAAAAAGGAAAAGAAAAAAAAAGAGGTTCGAAGCCTTATTGCTGTTAGTTCGAGGGGGGGGGGGTAGGGCAAATGCTCCCCTGCTCACGCTCGGAAAAATGATGAATTGAGAATATAATGAAAAAGTTTTATAAAGTATAATGAAAAACATTTGCTTTGCCCCCACCCCCGGAAAAAATCCTGGCGAGGCCCGTGCGAGGGATTGTACAGTGTAGTGTAACGGGCCGAGCAGGCCGGGGCGTGGCGGGGCTCCTAATTAAAACAACAACTAAAGAAAACACACAGTGAGCAAGACAGAATTCGGGGGCGCCTCCCAGATTTTAGTTTGATAATATACGCAATAACTATTTACAAAGATAAACCAAGAGTAAATTAATAGAAGCAGATAAATATAATATTGGGTGAAACTTACAAACTATAAGACCAGTGCAGTGGCGTGGCTGGAGGAGAGCGCACAGCAAACGGAACCTCAACGTAACAGTGTGATAAAGCAAATAAAAGAATGACCAATGCCCAATTGCGCGCACCGGCCTTATATACCCGTAAGGTGCACCCGACCAGAAAAGGTATTAAAGGAATGCAAGATATGTTTGGAGCTTAACCGCTGTGTTGCACGTGGCGAACAGAGTCTTTGTTACAGTAGAATGAAGTAATCACATGAGTGATGTGGCTAGGATTTTTTCAGTAGCAGGGCCTGGGCACCACAGACTTTAATCTTTGTGAAGCGCCATCGTGTAGGTGCTCCTACCACAATCCCTTTTTTTTTAAGTACCGTAAAAAATAGCACTCCCCACAAAAATTCAACAAAGGATTTTTCATAATCAGACTGAAACACAGTCAGAGCTGATGAAAGAGCCCAAAAGGTCTAGAATTTGTTTTACGAGACCATGAAATATTCTATGGCACCTTAACCCTCCTAGTCTTCTGCACTTCACAACCCTTCACATTTTGCAAAACCACTTTTGCCCAAAGAGTTAGCACCCACACTTTATATTCCTTTGAGGTAATCCTCTGAGGAGTATGGATAACACCTCAAATCCCTGCACATATTAAGCTCTGGTCATGCTCAGGGTAAGCAGGGGGATTCTGTCTTGCTTCACCGTTCTCCCCAGTGCGTTTTTTGTGTGTGTGTGCAGTGACTCTCTGTGTGACACAGTTACTTTAACACTTCATATCCCTTCACCTGAAAGTGACCTGCAGGCTTTCAAAGGGTTTTACATATATTCCTCTGAATATTGACTTCCCCCTAGGACGGTTTGAATATTGACTTCCCCCTAGGACGGTTAAACCATGCCGAGATTGAAACCCATACATGAACTAATATGTCAACCACAGCTAGAAGGCTAAATACTCAGATGGCACCATGCCCCCACTCACATCATATGACTTCTTAAAGTAAAGGGACAGACGCCTCATTTTTCTGTTCCATTTACCCTCCCAGACTATGTGGCTACCCGCCGTTTTACGACGAGAGCGACACTGTCCTATTTCAGCAGATCATGAACGGTCACTACGAGTTTGACTCGCCATACTGGGACGAGATATCCGATTCAGGTAACTTTGACAATCTTTATCACCTTCCCATAGAGTGTGATTGGACACAAGACATTCTCAGATCATTTGAAATATTTTTCTGAACAAAAAATATGTTTAATAGTACAATTAGTTGAAGGAATGTGACCTACCGGTACATGTAGTGAGCAATCCCATGTACATTAGTTCCCAACACACACCCTCCTTTTTTATCTCTTCTCATAAACATGTATTCAGTATTGACTCTGAAGGGATCGTTTGACTGCCTTAAATGTCACTGATAGTTCAAGCCACTTGACATTAATAGACAGAGTTGGGGATTTCTCACAGAAGACCCTTGGATTGAACTTAAGAATATGTGAATAATTTTGTTTTGACTGTTACCGGATTGCTCAATCAAGGCTAATGAAAAATCTGCATATAAACTTACTTGGATGGAATTTGAATATTTTTTTTATGAAGATATGTTTTAAAGGTACATGTAGCACACAACATTTGCAAACATCACACAACAAAACTACCAAATTATTATGAAATACCTCACTGGACTGTAAGTCAGTAATAGTCTCAAGCATCCTGGGAAATCGTGGCACCTGGTGTGCTGTCATTTTTGAGAAAAGTGGATTTTTGGTATCAATTTTTAACAATGGTCGGCCGACCATCGTTGGAAAAGAACTGACTTTGTTCAAATACCAAATTTAGTTAGTACACATTTTGTTTGCAATCGGTTACACATTTGTGAACTGGTGCAAGCCAGTTAGTCTGGTTTCCTGACCTGACAATTTCCTGACGTCTATAAATTGCTCCGTTTCGTACAAAGTAGGGTCAGGGAACCAGACTACAAGTACAGCATTTTGGTCTTTGTTTATCCAGCATCTATGAACACAAACTTTAAACCGAGGTCAGTGTAAAAACTTTTGCTGTAAAATACTAACCCCCAAATCCATCCATTTCTAAAAATTTCTGCAAAAGCAAATGTTGTACATGTACATATGTATATTTTATATATACTGTCTAAACATTTGTTGACATGGAACCCCAGTTTTGTTTTGTTTTTATTTTCCTACTTGTATCAGTGTCTGACATAACCCTTTTCCCAGCGAGCCACTGAATGCTATTACTATTGCTATAATAAATCAATTAACAATACATGTATGTACATGTAACAAATAAGTTTCAGATTTTGATACATCATTACTTGCACACAAGGCACATTTAATGTGAAAACATTTTTTTTGGAATACAAATTATAGAATGTTGAAGACAAATAGATTGTAGGGTGATTGAAATAACCCATATTTTTTGTTCAGAACTACTTTGTTTTCTTCCATTTAACTTATTAACTAGTAGAAATCCATTAAATACTTTTCACAACAGAATGGATAACTTGCAATATTTTTTTTTTTTTAAACGAAATGGCTTGTAAAATTAAGCTTTTTCCACATACACGTTTAGTGAATTAGCTAATGATTATAAAGCAAATTCTAGCATAGTCTCTTATTTTTTTCGACTGAGACTGTTGCACACGGAATTGAAGAAATTCCTCCTGTTTTTAAAGCCTATTGGTTTTATATTTACCACATGAAGAAGGAACCCTCATAAAATTTGACATGCAAACATCGAGTAGCTGTCTCTTAAATGTGCACCCTGCCACCTTGTTTCTTCATCACCATCTACATCCCCTGAAACCCACGGCTCCTGTTTGACATTTATAATCCATTGCGCTGCAGTTTGCCCACAAGTCATACCCGGTGACAAGGGGGAAAAAAAGAAGTTGGCCTCGTTGATGTGCAGAATGTGTGTGAATGAACGCATCAGCGTGGCTCGGAGAAGACATTTACAGCTGGGAAGATGAAGGGTCCCTGTTATTGTGGCATTATTTAATCTGACTGTGCAGCCAGGGTCCCCCCCCCCCCTTTCCCCAATGATTCATACCATGTTTATCTTGCGACTATTACTGTTCCATTAGGATGGGTTCAGTGCTGCAAGTGACAAATGTTAAATGCATGAGGTAGATTACAGAAACCGGAGCTTGTATTGGTCTTCAAACTGCCCCCCCCCCCCCCCTCGTCCTCTCCCCCCCCCCTCCAAGAATCTCACAAGCCAGGAATTTACAGGGTTGGCCAATTGATGAGCTAAACACGGCTGTGTTGTCATCACAGCCCGGTTACTCTGCTTCGCCGCGAGAACATTTATTATCCCCGCTCTATATTCAACTTGTTTGTAAATATGTGTTTGCACCAGAACGACCAGTGACTAGCTGGCTGTGACATGAATCAATCTTTTTGCCAGGTGTTGGACTCTTGATTGGTATTCTGACGGTTCACCCTCGTCATAGGATGTTTTTTTGTTGTTGGGGGGGGGGGGGAGGGATCCATCGACTATAAAAGAGACTAGAAATGTTGACGACGGATGGTAAATCAATTTTGGAAAGGCAGTTCAAAACAAGGGCAGATACATGTACAGTCATACAAACTCAGCAGAAGGCTTTATGTTTGCTATAACCAAAATTTGTATTAACAGTGTATTGACTTGTGATTTACCTGTGACTGCGCTTGTGATTTACCTGTGACTTGACTTGTGATTTACCTGTGACTGGACTTGTGATTTACCTGTGACTAAACTTGTGATTTACCTGAGACTGGACTTGTGATTTACCTGAGACTGGACTTGTGATTTACCTGTGATTGGACTTGTGATTTACCTGTGAGTGGACTTGTGATTTACCTGTGACTGAACTTGTGATTTACTGGTACCTGAGACTGGACTTGCGATTTACCTGTGACTGGACTTGTGATTTACCTGTGACTTGACTTGTGATTTACCTGTGACTGGAATTGGTTTAACCTGTGACTGGACTTGTGATTGACTGGACTACGTAGGCTTGGTGCCTGCTGATTCCGTGCACCAGTGTGCCAAGTAGACCTCATAGACCAGGTTACCTGTAACTTCATACCAACGGGCAACCGACACACAACCCAAACATTTAAGCATCCTTTGCATGCTATTTTGTCCACATTTAAGCAGCTTATGTCACCACTTTGACACCATTCACATTTCAAGAGATATACACATGCAGTGCAGAAGAGAACAATTTGCTGAAAGCTGGCATCATACGACCACAACATCCAATTTGCAAACAAATGTAACACTATAACATTGTAAAAATCTTGGTTTCAAATCTCCAGTTGTCATGTTTAATGTTTAACGATAAGTTTTTTCACACATTGTAATTAAGTTCCACCCCGCATTATTTTCCATTTTAATTCTATCATGTAGATATTGATTATTCAATTCATTCTTTGTCAATATCCATACTCCTCATCAACAAATATACAAAGTCCAATGGAAGGTTTCGATTACAAAATAATGGACATTTTCTGTGCTAAGTTTATCCAAACAAATGTTCATGAAAGCACAATAGGGAGTGGGCCATGCCATGATAAGCTGTGGCTTGTCAGATCAAATCATACCGATACCAATTACCAAAAGCAACGACAATAATACATACACGTACGTACGAAAAACTACAAATTGTACACAAAATTACAAAGTCCCATTTTGTTTGTGTGAACATGTTTAAATTGTACATTGAATTGGACATCCAGGGTTTGAATATAAGAAATAAATAATGAAAACATCTCTGAGAGTTCCGTTAAATTGGCTTACGTACATCTGTAACTGGGCATTTCCACACTAATGGGCCAATTAGATAAGTTTATGGATGTTGCGTATGAAGGGTAAAAGATGAGCTAGTCTTTTCTTCAGTTTTTTCCTATACCTTGCTAAGTTGAAAGTGACTACCAATAGGACAAGACAAGACAAAAGATGATACCTTGTTTTGTTTGAGAAAATAACAGGCATCTTTTCTGTGTGATACGTACATGTATGTAACGTGGACAGACACACTGCTAGGAACAGGGTGCTTAGGACAAATTCAGTTTCTAATAGGCACTTCCAGTGACATTATTAAGCCATTTTACATTGTAACCAAGCAAAAATATGACAGTTTTCACACAGGCTTCAAATTTATGATGTGATTAGGGTTACGTACGAACAGGGACAGACATTTTGTGACAGATGTCCAGTCTGTTCGTATGTACAAATCCTGATTATAAAATATCCGATAATTCTTAACACTGAATCTGAGTTTTCTAGGTTTTGACTGATAAGCATTCCTCCAGGGTACATCTTCTTAAATAAGTCAACATTAGGGGATCATTAAACTTTATGCTTACTTTGTGACTTTATCTAAAATGTCTGTCCTTCGTTATGTACGTAACACTTTGTAACACAATATCCTTTGCAGGTGAGGACATTTGTTCGAAGCTTGCAATGTTTACAGCAAAAATTGAGAGACCAAGATTGCAGTTTTATCATCAAAACTTAAAGGTTTTCTCAAATGTCACCCATTAGTGTGGAATTGCCCAACTTCAAGTTGACTCTTTGTCACTTTCAAGACGATTACTTAAATAAGAAAAACACATTTTTTTGAGCTGAATTAAAAAGAGGTGCATTTGAAAAAAAACAACCAAGAACCTAAACATGTGCAAGAACAGTCTCCTTTAGATGCGAAATAAAATTTACGAATGACTACAAATTAGAAAAAAAGTTTCTTAATGTTTAATTAATTAATGTTTTTGTTGTTTATTTATTGGTTGAGTTTTGTTGTTGTTGTTCGGTTTTTAAAAGTTTTTCTGTAATTTTTTTTTGGGGAGGGGGCAATTGTCTTCCAAAAAAAGTGTTGCGCCTACTACCGGTACTTTCCACTGAAAGTTTGACCCATGGCTGTTGTTCATGCAGTGGGTGTGACACCCTAAAACCTTCATTCAAGCCACAAAATACATCCAAGGAGGATTTACACAAAAGAAATACAGGAAGAAGAGGTTGTGAGTTGTTTGTTGGTGGCTTCTTTCTCCAATTAGAAAATTCCACAAAATATCAGCATGCACGTTGTGCAGCTGGGTATCATTTGCCATTCGTCATGATGATTGTTTCAGATACATACTGCCCTTCGGATT